TCGACCTCAGTGGTCCAGGGCGGTGCGGATTTCCGGTCACATCTGAGTTACACCTTGTCCCCCTCGAAGCTGCAGGCCTGAAATTTTGCCACCCTGGTCCCCGATGTTCTTTCCCTGGTCCCTCATGTCGCAGAGAGAGGGGGCTGGGAGAAACCCAGTTGACTCATTCATCCATTCATTCAAACTGGGCTCTGTGCTCAATTCTGTGTCCGGGCCCTGGGCTGGGTCTTGCAGGGCTGTGGCAGGAAGTGGGGGAAGGAGCACTGGCCTGTGGAGTGCCAGCTCTGTGGAGAGATGCCCCTTCTCCCCCCAGATGGGGACCCGGCTCTGGGAGGAGCGTGGCGTCGGGGGTCACCGGGAGAAAGAACGCGAGGGGCTGGAGTGACAGTACAGCGGGCAGGGCACTTGCCTTACACACGGCCAGCCCAACTTGGATCCCTGGCGCCCGCCGAGCCCTACCAGGAGTGATTCCCAAGCACAGAGCAGGAGCAACCCCTGAGCACTGCCAAGTGTGGGCTCCCCACCCCACAAGAAAGAATATGGGGGGAATTGATCTGATCTCTTCGATCATTTTCTCTCCATGTATTTCATTGTGTGTGTGTTTGTAAAGAGGTGGGGGACCCCCCAAAAGTACCTAAGGGGCCCTAGGGCCACTTCTGCTGTTTTGCAGCCAGTTAGGGTGGTGGGTCAGTGCTCAGGCTGTGATGCTGCTCTGTAGCCGTCCCATGCCGGACACGTCCAGGGAGTGGTGTGGGGGGGTTCTGGGGTTCTTGGGCTCAAACTTGGGTTCTGACACACGAAGAGCATGCATCAGGCCTGAGCTAACTTCCTGTTCTGTACCTCCTCCTCTCATCCACTAACCCCCATGTATTTCTGAATCAGGTTAGCACCAATCGATCGATTGATCGATGGCTTTAGAGATCTGATGGGCCCCCAGTGTTTTAGCGTGGGGTGAAATGCTGACTGGCGGTGCAGCTGGCTTTGAGTTGTGGCTAATGGAACCTCCCGGTACTTGGATCCAGGACTTTACTTTGCAGGCACGACTAACTTGGGGTTAAAAGATTTCCACTTTTTTTTTTTTTGGAAACACTTTAGCACATTAAGAACAATAACAGTCTCGGAGAACCAGGGAGCGAGCAGGGCTGTGACTGGCCCATTAACTCCTGCCCCGGATTTCCATTACGGTGAATTAAAACGTCCTCTTTGATGCTCTCAGAAAGCTGTTGCTTGTCTGATGGAGCGCTGACTGGACGGGAAGCTTTTCAGCCAAGGAAGAGGTGACTGACCTCGAGCGGGCGCCCCCGCCTCCCCCCAAACTCCACCACCCCGGGCATCCCACCTGACGCCCACCTTTCTCAGGAGATGAAAGGAAGCTTTTCTGGTAAATGGAGCCGGGCTGTTTGTTCGGCTGGAGAATGAATGGGCGGCCAGACTGTCTGCCTGGTTTTTTGTCCGCCGGATATCACTAAGGTTGGTGAGTGGCTTAGTGGAAGATGGAGCTGTCTCCTGGCGTGCTATAACCCCTGTTTCCACCCCCGAGGCCTCAGAAGGAGAGGGGATGAGGTTCCTGGGGAAGATTTTCTTGGGTCTTTGTTTTTTTGTTTGTTTTTGGTGGGGAGGTGGGGTCACACCCAGCGATGCTCAGGGTTCCTCCTGGCTCTGTGCTCGGGAATTACTCCCGGCAGTGCTCAGGGAGACCATATGGGATGCTGGGGATCGAACCCGGGTTGGCCGCCTGCAAGAAAAGACCCCTCTCTGCTGTCCTATTGCTCCAGCCCTCCTCCGGGCATTGCTTTTTAGGTCACACCCGACAATGCACAGGGGTCACTCCTGGCTCTGCACTCAGGAATTACTCCTGGTGGTGTTCGGGGGGACCATATAGGATGCTGGGGATCGAACCTGGGTTGGCCACGTGCAAGGCAAGACCCCTCTCTGCTGTTCTGTTGCTCCAGCCCTCCTCCGGGTCTTTGGAAAGCAGACCCAGGCTGGCCCCGGGAGCGGTTGGCTGGACTTACCTGTCTTCCATGGGCTCTGAATGTCGCAGTGGGAAGGCCATCTGGGCAGCCCACCTTGGGGAGCACCTCGCAAGGTGAGGGAGCCGATACAGATCCCCATGGGGACCTTCTGGGTGGGATGGGGGGATCTGCCACCTGCCGAGTGTCATGGAAAGGGGTCTGGGAAGGTTGGGGCCACAGGGAGGGAGTAAGTCTGTCTGGTGGGACCCTCCCGCTTCCCAGCTCCTGAAGTCCTCCTAATGCTCCATAGAAGTGGCCCCTCAGGGGAGCGGGGTGTGGGGGTCACGCCAGTGGTCCTGAGCCCCACATTTCTGGTGGTGCTTGGTCACAGTGAGGCCTTACTGCCCAGACTTGGTGACACCAGGCAGGGGCTATACTTGGGGGGCCTCTTAGCTGAAAGCTTGGGGAGCACGGTGCTGGAGATCAGCACTGCTCAGCACTGCAGTGCTCAGGGCCTTGTTTGTAGATGGCCAGGAGCCGCGAGGTCTCAGCTTCCATCCCCCTGCCATCTTCTAGCTACCCTCCCCCGGGTGAATCATTTCCCCCTTAGAGCCCCGCGTCCTTTATGCTCTCTCTTGGGCCTCATTTAGGTGCTTCTGTGCTCTAAGCAGCCTCAGGAGGCCCCAACTGGAAGGAAGGAAGGAAAGGAAAGGAGAAGAAGGAGGAGGGGAGGGGAGAAGGATCCGCCGGGACGTTTCCCTGAAACACTGGATTCCTACCTTCACCTTCAGCAAGGGCAGGAAAATACAGTGCACTCCCAAGGATGTGGCCGGGACCTGGGACCTGGCACACCTTTTTTTTTTTCTTTTGGGGTCACACCCAGCGATGTTCAGGGGTTACTCCTGGCTCATGCACTCAGGAATCACTCCTGGCAGTGCTCAGGGGACCATATTGGATGCCGGGAATCGAACCTGGGTTGGCCGCAAGCAAGGCAAACACCCTAACCGCTGTATTGTTGCTCCGGTCCCCGGGCACACCTTTTCTGCTGGCCTCAATAATTTTCTCTTAAGGCAGGGGAGGCCAGGACTGTGTTGGTGCTCAGAGTCATGGAGGAGGAGCTCCGGGTCCCAACCTAGTGCTCAGGCCCCAGCTCCACTGGCTATGACTTGCCCCTGACCCCAGCCTCCAGCCTCAGTTTCCCCAGGTGCCCGAGATGTGGTGAGCTATGATGGTAGCTGCTGACCTGGGCCCTGTGGTAGCTCGCCAGGACCGTGCCCCCTGACAGGGGACCGTCGTGGGTACCTGGGAGCAGCCAGCAGGGTGCAGAGACACCTGCAGAGACATCGGCTCCTGGGTCATTGATGCAGAGTCATTGGGATGTGCAAACACGGCAGTGGGGACTTGTTCATCCTCTGTGACAGCATCTCACCATGTGTCAGTCCCATTCGTCAGCACCTTTTCGGTCAGGATTCCCACAGTCTTGGCATTGTGGGTCTTTTCTGTGGACTGGGGGTGGGGGTAGGGAGGGGAGCCGGGGCTCCCTGGGAAGTTGAGCTCTGGTGACCTGCTGCCCACGTGTCTTCCTGCTGGGGCTCCCTGTGGCAAGTGTGCTTAGTTTGTCTGCAGCCTCGGGAGGAGGAGTGGGGCCTCCGGGCCTCTACGTGGGGGTCATCCCAGGGGGTACCTATTGGGGAGAGACTCTGGGCTCCGCACCTTGAGGGCCTTGTCCCGGGAGACTGTCCCCTGTCCAGAACTGTGTGCATTGCGTCGGCCAGAACAGGGAAGGGGTGATGGCCCGAGACGGTGGAACGCGTGTGTTCTCCCATGCAGGAAGTTTGGGTTCGGTCTCCGATGCCCTATAGCCCCCCTGGCCACTGCAGGGGCTCAGTGTGGAGGGCCAAGCTCTGACCCCACTACCTCAGGACCCCCAAGGCTTTACTCTGCCACCGGAAGAAGGGAACAGTCCTACTACTGAGTACTGGGTCCACCTCCCCCAGCAGTGGAGACAGAGACGGGGCACGGGAGGCTCTGGGTACAGGTTCATGGAAGCAGCCTGTGTGGGCTTGAGAGAGCCCCCCACCCACACCTCCCTGCATGATGGTCAGAACAAAGTATCTGGGTACCGTTGGCTCTGCCCGGAACTGCTGGGGGCAGGGTAAGCAGAGGGCTTTCTTTTCTTTTTTCTCTTTTTTAAAATATATTTGTTAATGAATCACCATGAGATACAGTTACAGACTTACAAACGTTCGTGATTAATTTTCAGTCACAAAATGAACGAGTACCCATCCCTCCACCAGTGCCCATTGTCCACCACCAATTTTCCAAAGTCCCTCCCATCACCCCCATCCCATCCCCGACCCTTGCTTCAGTGGCAGGCACATTCCCTCTTACTCTCTCTCTTTCCTTTTGGGTGTCATGGTTTGCAATACAGGTAGTAAGTGGCCATCATGGTTGGTCTATAGTCTACTTTCAGCACGCACGGAAGGCTTTTTTTTCAACCCCTCAATTCTATACAGCCTCCCCTCGCCCCACAGAGGACACTAGAACCTCTCCTTCCATCAGTCCCCCCCACCCTGTTTTTTTTGGAGGGGGTTGGTTTTGGGGCCACATCCGGCTGTTCTCAGGGCTCCCTCCGGGTTCTGTGCGCAGACATCACTCCTGGCGGTGCTATGGGAGACCACATGGATGCCGGGGATCTAACCCAGGTCAGGCACATGCAAGGAAAACACCTCCCCTCCCGCTATATTATCACTCCAGCCCCACTTCCTCCATCAGTTGTCCGTGGTAGATTTTTTTGTCACATGTCACGTGTCACGTGCTCCATAGGAGACCCAGGTCTGCTGTGAGAAGGAAGTCTGCCTGGCCTGACTTCGCAGCAGCATCTGGGCTTTTCCGGGGAGGGGACAGAGACGTGTGAACTGCCCAGTGTGCAGCGATGCCGAGATGGGGCCCAGTCTGGCCCTGGGATCGTGCACGGTGACTGCCGCGGCGGGGAGCCACCCCCAGCGCCGCGCTGTGTCCCCCGCTGAGCCCGCTGTCTTGCAGGTGTGATTCCCGCCACCACCGTTGCCGACCATGGGCAAGCAGAACAGCAAGCTGCGGCCCGAGGTGCTGCAGGACCTCCGGGAGAACACGGAGTTCACGGACCATGAGCTGCAGGAATGGTACAAGGGCTTCCTCAAGGACTGCCCCACCGGCCACCTGACCGTGGACGAGTTCAAGAAGATCTACGCCAACTTCTTCCCCTACGGCGACGCCTCCAAGTTCGCCGAGCACGTCTTCCGCACCTTCGACACCAACGGGGATGGCACCATTGACTTCCGGGAGTTCATCATCGCGCTGAGCGTCACCTCGCGGGGCAAGCTGGAGCAGAAGCTCAAGTGGGCCTTCAGCATGTACGACCTGGACGGCAACGGCTACATCAGCCGCAGCGAGATGCTGGAGATCGTGCAGGTACGGACGGGAGCAGGTGGGGTCCCGTGTGGCAGCCTCGAAACCTGCCTCTAACCTGCTTCTCTGGCTTGCAGTTTGGTTTGGTTTGGTTTGGGGCCACCCCCAGCAGTGCTGGTAGCAGCTCCCAGCGTGCTCGGAAATTGCTCTTGGGGGTGCTCAGGGGAATTCATGGTGCGGGGGGGAGGGGCGTTTGGGGGAGGTCAAGCCCTGGACCGTTGCCTGCAGTACCCGTGCTCCAGCCCTCGGAGCCCTCCCCAGCCCAGCTCTCCCGCCCTTGGCCTGGTTCTTGCCCGTACTGCAGCTCCTTGAGTCGCATCAAAGATAATAATAATAATAATAATAATAATAATAAAAAATAACCCCAGGGCCCAAGGCGGTTCGAGGACCTGCCCTTTTTCACTGGTTGTTTCTGCTTCAAGTGGCCTTTTCTAAGAATTCCTCTGAGGACTGGCTTGCTCTTGATGCTGAGTCGTGTTTATCGAGCGTTCTCTGGCCAGCAGGCTCTCAGAGCATCTCTCATTGTCCCCGCGCTTTGTGGGGCTGCTTTCTCTGTGGGTTTAGAAAATGCCAGGCTCCGAGAGAGGAGTCCCGAGGAATTCACAGAGTTGGGCTGGGCCTGTGTCAGAGGCACAGAGCACTTTCCTTGGTTGTGGTGTGACACCCCGGGTTTGATCCTTGCATGTCTCTCTCTCTCTCTCTCTCCCTCCCTCCCCTGTCTCTCTCTCCTCTCTCTCACACACACTCACACACACACACATATATATATATACATATATATATATATAAATCTGAAAAGCAAACAAAGATGAACTGTGCCAAGGACGGTGGTAACTGGGGAATCACTGCAGATGGCACCTCCCAAACCTTTAGGGAGTCCCATGACAGGTGACTGGTCACATGGAGTCACAAAGCATCTCAGAGATGGCCCCCACCTCCAAAACAGCCCTGTGACCAGGGCGTGCCCGCCAAGCTCAAGTCTCTGCACTTCATTGAACCTGTCAGCCACTGTTTTCTGGAAGGCTGCAGTGTGAGCCGGGCTGTGGCTCAGTCTGGCGCTGAAGACCCCAGATTCTACTGGGCCCCATACCCCCTCCAGCACCCTCACCTCTGGGGGTGGGGGGTGGGCTGCAGGATCTGCTCCCAGAACTTTCTCCAAGTGGGCACCATGTGAAGACCAGGACTCTCCCCGCTGTGCTTGCCCTGTTGGCCCAGGGCTGGGGCCCACACTTGTCTCCACAAAAGGGCGGGAGACTCGGGGACTTGGGGCACCCCCCTGACTCCTCGCTGTAAGCAGGAGTGGAACGTCCCCGTGGTCCCTGATCTGCTCGTGTGCAAATGGGCTGGCCCGCCCCAAGTTCTGAGGGCCTGGTGGCCGGTCCTGAATGGTGAGGGCAGCCATGCCAGTTATGCCCAGCGGGTAGCTCTTTCCAAATTGGTGGGGCATGCTGGGGGGTCCTGCTGCCCCTTGTGGGTATGTGTGTGTGTGTGGGGGGGGGGATTCTTGGCACTCAGAGACGCTGCAGGGTCTGGCTCTGCTTCCCAGGATCCTGGCTGGTCCCGAGGTCCGTGCTGACTGGAGCCCGAGGCTGACCAGGCCTAGCCCGCCCTGTCACGTGTCCAGGGACGCTACCCCCGCCACTTGGTCTCACGCTCAGAGGGGCTGCCCAGGCCCCCTGGGTCCCCTGCCCGGAGATGGGAAACGGGGCTGGAACGGGCGGCAGAGCCGAGAGCAGAAACCCTGCCCAGCCCCTCTTGGCTCTGTGCGCCTTGGATGTTTTTCCTGGTCAGCTTTTCACACAGTCACCCCCGGTCTCTGCTGCTCTGAGCCCACCCCGGTAGGAGCGCGGATGCTGTCCTGCATGTCACCCTGAGCTCTGGGTGACTCATTGGCCTCGTCACACCTCCGCATCTCCTGGAGAGCTGCCCAGCCCACAGGAGAGGTTTATCCCCTGCCCCTGTGCTGTCCCCAGGGCAGTGTTGTGGGTCTATTCTGGCAGTGGGGTCCTGGTGCCCGCACTGGGGTCAGCAGGTCTGCAGGCCTGTCCTGGAGGAGCCTGGATGCCCCCACTAGGGCCTTCTGGAACATTTGCAGCCCCAAGGGTCCTCACGTGCCTCTCCAGCCCCTCCCTCTATCTCAGGCACAGTCAAGTCACGATTTCCACCCTCTTGTCATACACACACGCTCGCCTGGCAGGGACCGGCTGCCCCCTTTCAACTCATCTCAGACTGTCCTTGGAGCGGCTGTTGGCTGGACAGACTCTGACCCGTTGTTGGGGGTTGGGGGGCAGGGAAGTTGCTGTTCACCCAGGAATGCCACGCCGTCCCCCGCACACGTCTCTGTGCCCCTTTGCAGGCCATATACAAAATGGTGTCGTCCGTGATGAAGATGCCCGAGGACGAGTCCACTCCGGAGAAGCGGACGGACAAGATCTTCAGGCAGATGGACACGAACAATGACGGTAGGGGGCGCTGTGGGAGCAGAAGCCAGCGGGTCCCTCCTCCCTCCCTTGCCCTCAGCGCCCCCCCAGCGGCCGGGACAGCTGTGTGAGGGAGAAAGCCGGGACTTGGGGTCTGGGCCACCTGGGTCTGCATCCTGGCTTGGCCCTTCCTGAGGATTCTCTTGGTCCTGGAAGAGGAGTGGACCCGGGGTCCCCGTGAGCCCAGCACCTGCAGAGACCCGAGTTCAGGCTGTGGCAGCAGAGGGTGTAGCGCTGGTGGCCCCCAGGGCCGCCTGGCCCTTGCACTGACCCGGTAGGCCTGGGTATTGCTGCCCTCGCACCCAGCACCTCTGGCTGGGACCCTGTAAGATAGAGAAGTGGAACCAGCCTCTGCTCCCTAAGGCCAGGCTCTGGGCGCCCGCCCCCAGCCACAGTTCTCATCCGTGAAACAGGGATGATGCTCACTGTGTAGGTGTGGGGAGGCTCAGGGGGGACGAGAGGGATCATGGCCGGGTCTTGGGGGGCAGCTCTGGGGTTCCCCTCACTACATCCTGCATGAGTGTTTATGTGCATATGTGTGTATGTCTGTGCATGTATGTACACATGTGTGATTGTGCACATTTGTCAATGTCTGTGTCTGTTCACGTGTGTGTTTGCACGTGTGTATGTGTGTACACGTGTGCATCTGTGTGACTGTGCATCTGCATGTGTCTCTGTATCTGCATGTGTGTTTGCACATGTGTGTGCTCATCTGCATGTGTGCGTTTGTGTGCTTATGTGTGTGCGCCTATGTGTGTGTGTGTGTGTGTGTGTGTGTGTGTGTGCGTGCCTATGTGTGTGTCCGTGTGTGCACATATCTGTCCATCCACAGCTTGGGTTGATTGGTGGGTCCCACTTTCTTGGTATCTTCTTCGGCCTGGAACTAGAGTCCCATCGTCTCTTCCTCTTCCCCCCCCCCCCCCCCCGCACCCCCCCCAACAACTCCAGGTTTCAGGCGTCACTGGTGTCACAGGCCAGGCGTGTCCGTCTCTCTCACTGACCCCCTTCTAGGGGCAGGTAGTGCCCAGGGAGCCCATGGCTGAGAGGTGGGCAGACGCCGAGCCCTAGCCTGGGGGAGCCTACGGAGCACAGGGTGGGCAGGGGCAGCCGCATGACCTGTCTCACTGCATTCAAGCAAGGCGGCACTTCCCAGAGGGCAGGAGTGGCAGGAAGTGTTCCCACCAAAGCCCAGCAGAGAGTGGAGCTCCAAGGCCTGTGGCTTCGGGGAGGTTCAAGACTTGGGCTTCAGGGGCTGAGCCCTAGTACAGAGGGTGGGGCCTACCAGCGGGTAGGCTGACTGGGGGTTCAATCCCCAGCACCCCATATGGTCCCCCAAGCCCTGCCAGAAGTGATCTTTGAGTGCAGAGCCAGGAGTGAGCCCTGAGTACGACAGGTCTGTCCCAGAAGCAACGACAAAAAGACTTGGGGCTCCTGGGGGTCGCCCCCACCCCCAAGGCTGCCTCCCATTGATCGGGAGGGGTCAGAACAGGAAGGACGGCCAAAGCCGGCCCCCATCACTCCATTCACTTTGTCCCTCATCATCCTGCAGGCAAACTGTCGCTGGAAGAATTCATCAAAGGTGCCAAGAGCGACCCCTCCATCGTCCGGCTGCTGCAGTGTGACCCCAGCAGCGCCAGCCAGTTCTGAGGGACCCCGGCCCGGGCAGTCGAGGAGAAGCACAGGCTCGTCCGTCTGTCCCGCTGTCCAAGCTTAGCTTGCAGAAGCGGCCGCCGCCTCGGTCATCCCTGCCTTCCCGGACTGCGCACCCCTTCCCTACCCCAGTCCTCCGCGGTCCCCGCCCAGACCCCTCCATCCCTCCCAGGCGACTCCCCGGGATGTTTACCCCGCAGACTCCCTGGGGGTCTTGCACGCCTGGGCCACCTCTGCACGCACAGGCAGCCCGGAGGACACCCCCTGCGGGGGGACCCCAGGCAGTTTCTCCAAGCGCGCCCAGGCTGGCTGGCTTCCTCGGTGAGCGCAGGGCGGTGACTGACTCTGTGGGCGAGGTGGGGACCGGAGCGGAGGGAGCGTCGCCGGACAAGCCCTTCCTGTGCATGGCCGCACCCAGCGCCTCCTGCATGTCCGTGTACTGTGGTCTCCTTCCTCTGAGTCCCTCAGTGACGCGTCAGGTGGAGTGTCCGTGACTGGTGCCGTGTCGGTTGTGTGTTCATGCCTCGATCACCTTTGCACCGTGGCTCCTCCGTGGCCCGTGCCCCCTCCGAGCCTGGTTCTTTTGTGGTATTTATGCATTCTCCGTCTCCACAGGAAACGCATGCACGCCCGAGGCCCCGCGCCCCGGCTCCTATAAAGGGTTCGTTGTTGTCGCTGTCCAGTGATCTGGCATTTCCTGTATTAAAAATGATCCTGTCAACCCAAGTCTCTGAGTGGTTTGGTGTTGGTGCGTCCCCATGACCCTCCTTCCGCTGAGAGAGCCACCCTGTGTGTGTGTATGTGTGTGTGCGCATGTGTGTGTGTGTGTGTATGCCTTGAAGAATATGGGTGAGCGTGGGGTGTGTGTGTGTGTGTGTGCCTTGAGGAATATGGGTAAACGTGGGGTGTGTGCGTGGGGTGTGTGTGTGCCTTGAAGAATATGGGTGAGCATGGGTGTGTGTGTGTGTGTGTGTGCCTTGAAGAATATGGGTGAACGTGGGGTGTGTGTGTGTGTGTGTGCTCCTTGAAGAATATGGGTGAGCATGGGGTATGTGTGTGTGTGTGTGTGACTTGAAGAATATGAGTGAGTGTGGTGTGTGTGTGTGTGTGTGTGCCTTGAAGAATATGGGTGAGCATGGGGTATGTGTGTGTGTGTGTGTGTGACTTGAAGAATAGTGAGTGTGGGGTGTGTGTGTGTGTGTGTGCCTTGAGGAATATGAGTGTGGGATATGTGTGTGTGTGCGCCTTGAAGAATATGGGTGAGCATGGTTTGTGTGTGTATGTGTGTGTGTGTGTGTCTTGTAGAATGTAGGTGAGCATGGGCCCGAGCTATTAATAAAGCGGGTGAAGCACTTCTGATCCCAAGCATCCTGGGATTACCTGTAGAAGTAATCCCTGAGCACAGAGCCAGGAGTAAATAAGCCCTGCACACAGCCAGGTGTGACACCTCCCACCCCTGCAAACAAAACGGGAGAAGACTTGAGTTCCACAGGCTGCAGTCATGCTTCCGTCCACGTCTCTCAGCTTCCCCTGACCCGAGGCGGCAGCACCACACACCCCAGGTGAGGCCAGCAGGGAGCAGGTGGCCTGGGCAGCAGGCACGCCTGCCCAGCACTTGAACCAGCGACTGCAGATGGAGCCCGCGGGTTCATTGTGGGGTGGACTGTTCAGAGCTGGAGCCTGTCCTCGAGGACCCCAGATCCTCCACTCCCAGCCCCACAGACTGCTGTCGGGCTCACCCCTGTCTCCTGGGGGTCGCACACCGGCCTGGAGCTCTACATGGACACATGAAGCCCTGTGTTCTTTCTTGGATGGGGAGAACTTTCCAGAATTCCTTGGCCAGTTCCATTTGCTCCTGGCTAGAGTCGGCCAGTTCCTTGGCCGGGAGCCCCGAGACCTCCCACTTCCTCTGGTGGGCTTGGTGCTGGGAAGGGGATGGGGTGCAGGGTGCAGCTCTGCGTGGTGCCCTGGGGAAGTGCTTCAGGCTGTATTCAACCTGCCTCAGTGCAGGGCCTGGGGCTGGGGCTGGTCTGGGTTTCAGGGAGGTGAGCATTACTCTGAAATTAGTCAAAAAGAGAGGGACAGACAAAGATTGCACTCGTTTGTGGAATATAACAGAATGGTAGACTTACACCCAAGGATAGTAGAGATTAGGACCAGGAGGATTGCTCCACAGCTTGGAAGCCGGCCTCCCATGCTGGGGGAAAAGGCAGCTCAGACAGAGAAGGGGACACCAGCTCAGAAAGAATCGGGGCCTGGCTCAGACTCAGCGGGAGGCCCCAGGGAGAGGGGCTTCCCTGCCACCTGGAGTGGCCCGCTTAGACCCAAAGGCACAGGGCTGCAGGAGCCCCCTCCCCAATGTCCCCCACCTGGCAAGGTCCAGAGGCCCTGCTGCTGCTCTCAGACAGAAGGGACCACCCAGTAAAGGGTGTAGGAGGACCCGCTCGGGATGGGAGATGCGGGCTGAAAGTAGACTATGGACCGAACACGATGACCACTCAATACCTCTATTGCAAACCACAACACCCAAAAGGAGAGAGAGCAAAAGGGAATGCCCGGCCACAAAGACGGGGTGGGGTGGGGGAGATGGGGGTGGGGTTGGTGGGAGGGATACTGGGATCATTGGTGGTGGAGAATGGGCACTGGTGGAGGGATGGGTACTCGATCATTGTATGACTGAAATGTAAGCACAAAAGTTTGTAAGGCTGTAACTGTACCTCACGGTGATTCATTAAAAAATTAAAAAGAAAAGAAAGGCATGAGGGGCTGGAGAGATAGCACAGCGGGGAGGGCATTTGCATCCCATATGGTTCCCTGAGCACCACCGGGAGTGATCCCTGAGTACAGAGCCAGGAGTTACCCCTGAGCATCACTGGGTGTGACACCCCCTCCGAAAGAAAAAGCAAAAAGCAAAAGAAAAGAGGCGCCACCTCCAAGGGCAGCTGTCCCTGTGGAATATTGTAATGAGTAGTGCCCTTGGGAAGGGGCATGGGGCACGTGTCTGCTTAAACCCAGTGGCTAACCTGAACCTTTGATGGTCCTGCCTGGTCAGGAGGTGCCCGGGTGTTCCAACAGCCTCACCAGGCCATCCCCAGCCGGGCTGACCGTGACTGTCCCGACCTTCATTTTCATCGCTTGCTGCAGGCATATCCAAAGGCTTCATGGGAGGGTCCCCGCTCAGCACTGCTCCCAGTACTGACCTGCTAGTTCACTTCCGGTGGGCTTTGCCCAGAACCTGGGCCTGGCTCAGACTCAGCAGGAGGCCCTAGGAAGTGTGTGTGTGTGTGTGTGTGGGGGGGGGGGGGGTTCCCTGCCACCTGAAGTGGCCTGCTTGGACCCTAAGGCATAGAGCTGCAGGAGCTTCCTCCCCTCCATGTCCCCCACCTGGCAGGGCCCAGAGGCCCAGATGCCAACCCTGACCTCCCAGAGCTGTAGGCCTGGGGGAGACCCTGCTGCTGCTCTCAGAAGCTCTGGTTCTAGAGAGGGGTACAAGTGGGCCCTATTTCTCCAGATGGGAGGAGTGGGATGGGGTCGGGGAGGGGCCTGAACCTGGCACCCCTGGGGAGCTTGGAAAGATCCCAGACCTGGACTGGGAAGAGGGGACAAGGCGCTGGACCGTCTTGGATACCAGGTGCCGGTGTGCAGAGACAGCAGATAGGGACCTTTGAGGATGGCTCCTGGGAAACCCCTGAGAGCCTCAGCCCTTGGCTGGGGACTATCAGGCTTCCTGGAGGAAGCCAGGCCCACTCCCATAACCAGGGTGGGGCACGAAACTGGAGGCGGGGCTCAGATGTGGCCCTTCCAAGGATGTCTGGGGTGTCCCCGACTCCAGGACAGGCTGGCACTGCACAAGTCCAGTCTGTCGGGAGCCACCAGCTGGGCTCTGGGTGAGGCAGACGCTGGGGCTGGGTCGGGGGTCAGCCTCAGGGAGAGGGTTTTCTTGGTGGGGGTCTGACACCTTGCATTAAATTCCCTAGAGGTCGGTAATAGCACATACTCAACCCTGCGTGGCTAAGGGACCCCAAGCTGCAGGCGTTGCTGCCCTCTGGTGGCCACAGCTGGGAGGGCCATCCCTGTCTGTCTGAGGTCCCTACACTACTGAGAACCAGCTGTCAGAGCCAATTTAGCTACTTTCTACAGGTTGGAGAGAGACTAGGGAGCATGACACTTGCCTTCCATGCCCCTGCCCCTGCCTGAGTCCCTGCAAGCACTGCCATGGGTGACTCCCGAATGCAGAACCAGGAATAGCCTATGAGCTCTGACAGGTGTGGCACCAGAGGGCGGCAGGAGTGGGGGGGGGGGGGGGGCTGAGAAAACTTTTGTCCCTGTCATATAAACAAGAGTGGAGTCTGAGACCTGGGGAGGGCTTGGATTTCTTTCTTTTAAACAAAAAAAAAATTGGGGTAGGGCTTTTGCCTTGTACACGGCCAACCCAGCCGACCCAGGTTCTATTTCTCCACCCCTCTCAGAGAGCCCAGCAAGCTACCGAGAGCATCTTGTCCACACAGCAAAGCCTGGCAAGCTCCCTGTTGACGTATTCATATGCCAAACACAGTAACAACAAGTCTCACGATGGAGACATTACTGGACCTGCCCAAGCAAAATTGATGAACAACAGGAGAACAGTGACAGTGACTAAAAAATATTTTTAAAACGTAACCACCGTGGGGCTGGAGCGAGAGCGCAGTGGGTAGGGCATTTGCCTTGCATGCGGCCGACCCGGGTTTGATTCCCAGCATCCCATATAGTTCCCTGAGCAATGTCAGGAGTGATTCCTGAGTGCAGAGCCAAGAGTAAACCCTGAGCATCACTGGGTGTGACCAAAAAAAGCAAAAAAATAAAATAAAATAAAAACAAAAACTTAACCACTGTGAAATCACAGTTATTTGTGACTGGGTTTCAGGTGTCTACTGTTTCAACACCAATCTCTTCACCAGTATTCACTTCGTTCCACCACTGCCCACCCGGCTTTACAAGAGACTTTTTTTTTTCATTTTTATTTTTTTTACATTTTTGCACTGTGGTTTCCAATACTGGTGCTGAGAGGGTTTCACACCTAATTCATATTTTCAGTTCCTTGTTGAATGCTGCCTTCCACCATCCTTGTTGACACCTTCCTGTTCTAGCCCCCAGACCCCTCAAGTGGCATGTGTCCTACTGCATAGTTCTCATGTTCTTTGTTTCTACTGGGGGCTTGATTTTTTCTGAGGTCAGCCCAGCACCCTGACTTCCTGTTTATCACGGTCACAGTCACGGTCCTCCTGTTGTTCATTGATTTGCTCGAGTGGGCCCAGTAACGTCTCCATAGTGAGACTTGTTGTTACTGTGTTTGGCATATTGAGTACGCCATGGAGAGCTTGCCAGTCTTTGCTGTGCAAGCGAGATACTCTCGGTAGCTTGCCAGGCTCTCCTAGAGGGGCAGAGGAATCGAACCCGGCTCTGCCAGGCCAGCTGTGCGCAAGGCAAACGCCTTACCGCTGTACCATCGCTCCTGTTTATAAGGCAGTTAAATTGTACATTATTCGTGTACTCGTTCACGATACCTCTTTGCCATGCTCACTTTGCAATCCTGTTTATAGCCATGGGACCTACACACCTTTACAGGTCAGAGATCCAAACTGGGCTGCCCTAGGGCTGGGTACCTGATCCAGAGCCATCTTCAGCCTGGCCCCCACACCTCCTCCCCTGTACCCCCAATGCCCCACCTCCCAGGGCTTAGCCCGCACCTCTCTGCCCAGTCTGGAGAAGGGCTAGACTAAGGTTTCCTGCAGTGTCCCAACCCCGGAGCTAGCCAGAAGCACAGCTCACCTTGTCATGACCCTCCACAATTAGAGTGGGCAGTGATGGGGCTGGAGCGATAGTATAGCAGGTAGGGAGCTTGCCTTGCCCGTGGCCAACTCAGGTTTGATCCGGAGCAACTCATATGGTCCCCCAAGTCCTGCCAGGAGTGATTCCTGAGTGCAGAGCCAAGAGTGCAAACCCCTGAACATTTCCAGGTGTGCCCCCCCCCCCCCCCAGACAAAAATAGAGTGAGCAGTGAGGGTGCAAAACACCTCCCACTCCCCACAATAGCAGTCAGAGTTTCCCTAGCGCTGCGAGGGCACCAAATGCTGGGCCTTGCTTGATGGCCTCGCCCGTTCCTCCAGTGAAGCAGTGAGGCAGCGAGGCAGTTGGAGCGGTCAGTGGCAGGCTCGCACAGCCTCTGCTGTGCTCTGGGCTGCTCCTGCTGTGCCCAGGTGCAGTAAACGGGGGGCGGCCCTGCCCTGGCGGAGACCAGGCCGCCACCCAGCTGCCTCTCCTAGGGCTCCCTGCGGTGGTTATCTTGGGTCAGGCCCACTCTCCATCACACGCACCACCCTGGGAATCCGACGGCAGAAGCAAATGCAAAGCACCCTGCCCACCCTGTTCCCCTGGGGACCCCGGTTTGGAAAGGGCTAATCTCCCCGCCTCCAGTGGAGCCCGGAAGTGGCTCGGAGCAGCCTTCCAGAGCCACTACAGGGCAGGCGGATGGCCGGAGAACCTCACTGCAGAGCCGTGCTCCCAGCCCGTTAGGATGACTGAGAAACCTCAGTAAGGCTGGAATCTGGACAAGAACATGAGGTCACCATGGGGTTGTGGGGCACACATGGCTAGAGGACAGGTAGGCCTCCACTGCTTCAGCAAATCCCCCCTCCCCCCCAAACACACACACGATGGGTGCATATCACATAGACGGGGAGAGACAGGATGCACTGTCTTCCCTGGGCTCTGGGCATACCTTTGATGCAGACTGAGGCACATTTGAGACTTGAGCACCCCAAACCATCTGACTGAGCTGAGGCAGCAGAGGTGACCAGCCTGGTGAATGTTCTGAGTCCCACGTCCAGCCCGCGCTGAGGCTAAGCCACTCACTAGAAGTTCTACCTTAGGTCCTAATGTTTCTTCCCTGAGAGGGGGCCCAGGCTGGCCACTCTGCTGTTTTTTCTGTCCTGTCCCTCTGTGTCGTTGGCACCTTCAGGCCCTGTTGTGTCTACTTTGCTACTTTTCCATTCAAATTTTAAATTTCAATTTTTTTTTTTGGCTTTTTGGGTCACACCCGACGATGCTCAGGGGGTTATTATTCCTGACTTTGCACTCAAGAATTACTCCTCGTGGTGTTTGGGGGATGCTGGAAATCGAACTCGGGTTGGCTGTGTGTAAGGCAAAGGCCCTCCCCCACTGTACTATCGCTCTAGCCCCTCAAACATTTTGTGTTTTGTGATCTGTTACTAAAAACTTTTTCCAGGAGTTACCCGCTGCCCACGTTTTCTAGTACAGCCTCCTCTCTGGGTTGGGACCAACAAGTTATACTTAAAATTTTGCCTTTATTTTTTGGTGGTTTTTGTTGTTGTTTTTAGGACACCCACACCCACCTGTGTTCAGGTCTTACTCCGGCTCTGTGTTCAGGGATCACCCCTGCTAGGGATCAGGGAATCATATGGGAGCCTGGGGATCAAACCTGAGATGGCTGTGTGCAAGGTGGCCTAGCTGCTGTATTATCACTCTGGCCCCCCAATTTTTTTTTTATCTGGGGAAGGGGAGAGGAAGTTCCCATGTAGTACTGCTCAGGACCTCTGGAGGCCACTGGTGATGATCGGCCAAGCTGACTGGCAGAACTGCTGGGTCAGTGCTGGCTGATGTCGGTCACTTCCTCCCATTCTGCTCTTGCATCTGAGTAAGCCCCCAAAGTGCAGAGAGTACTGCTCAGGGCCCTTCAGGGCTGCACCCAAAAATGCTTGAAGGGCTGGGTGCCATCAGAGATGAAACAGGCAGAGCAGTGCCTTGTACTCTTGTACTGTTTCTGACCCCTTTACATTTTTGTTAATTTTTCCAGGTAGTGCTGGGGTGGGGGTTATGCAATCAAACTTGGCCTTGTAGGGAAAGAGAATGGGGACTAAGACTCTTGCTTTGCATCTGGGTAACCCTGGTTTGAACCTGGCACTGCACATGGTCTCCCCAGCACCACCATGGGCTCACTCCGGGGGAAGAGGACGCAACAGGCATAACTCAAGATCAGAAAGGAGGGGGAAAGCACACTTAGGGCCTTGCACTAGCCTTGAGCTATGCATCCTGTTCCCACACACAGAGCAGTGCTGTTTCCGGTGCTGCTGCGTGTGCTGGGGCAAGGAGCACAGGCCCGTCTGCACCCAGCCACAATCCATTAAGATGTTCCGAGTAACTCAGAAGCAGAACCTGAGCTTGCAGCGCTGCTTCTCTAGGCCCCCTGTGCCCTGGGGAAAAGCTGTTCCTCCCCACCAGTACCACAGTGAAGACCCAGAGCCATAAGCCTCCAAACACCTCTCTGTGAATGAACCCGGCTCGGTATGAATGAAAGGATTTATGAGGAACCCAGGTAATGTCTACACCCAACTGTCCAAGGTCTGATTCTCTTTTGCCAAACTCACTCCCCGGTGTCGGGGGTAGGGGACGGGGGGTGGTGGTGGAACTAGATCCTTTGGCCCAGGTGACTCGCATCACCTCTACAAGGCTGGCCTCCAAAGGCCTGAATGGCTTCACCAGGTGGGAGACAAAGTTAGGTCAGTTGCTTCCTGGGTGACCTGGGGCTAACTGGGACTGTTTGTCCCCACAGGCAGGGCCACAGCTGATCTGAGTGGTCTTTCCCAGATAGAAGTGTGCAAGCCCTTACAATGCTGCAGTGTTACTTTTCAAACCAGCTCAAATAGTCACTGGGCTCTTGCTCATCCCTCCCCTCTAAAGTGGCATCTAATTTACCAAGCCTTTGGTGTCCAACTTTGGCTGGTTTCTTGGCAGACATACAGACTCAAGGCCAGTCCTTTTATTCTGCACATTAGAAGTGGGGACCAGAAAAGGATGCGCTCACAGGAAATAGGGCAGACTGCTGATTAAAGCCTTCTTTCCGCCCTCTTAGACTCTGGGCAGAATCACTTTCTTTGTGGCTCCTGTGAAGCCTTTATTCATGTTCTGGCAACTAAAGCCATATTCTTGGGAGACCAGAGCTGGTGACAAGCTAACTTTAGCAGAAATAGCGAGCGCTGTGCCTGCCACGTGGAGTTATCTTGGGGGAGGTGGCTCTTTAGAACAGCGAAGTCCCTCCTCTCAACTCCCAGGTGGATGTAGTAGTAGTAGAGTTCAGCTGGGGGCCAGAGTCCCTTCTGCACCTGCAGTGTGTGCTTACGCCATCCCTCATGCAGCTGCTCTGAGACTGGTGAGACCAGGGGCTGCTACAGTAGAGCTGTCGCTCATTTGCCTTCTTCCTCGGTCTGCAGCTAGATCCAAATTGTCAGACAGCATGGAAGCCTGCCACCATTTTGCAGAGGTGATACAAGCTGACTAGAACATAAGACAAGTGGGCAATGTGAGAAGAGAATGTAAAGATCTACAACACGAAATAATTCTTCTTGGATTTATTGAAGTACGTTGACTGTCAAATTTATTACAGTCCTAACGTGTGCATGACACAATCTGTCCTGGGAGTGAAGTCAGGGTGAGAAGGCGAAGCCTGTGGGCTCTGTAAGCAGGAGTAGAGGGTCTCAATGCCTTTCATGAGCACTGGTCATTGAGAGGAACAGGTCAGCCAATTATCCAGGGGCTCTGAGCCTTTGAAGTTCATTGCTGCCACTGACTGAGTGGGGCAAGGGCTGGGTGCTCAGATGAATACCAGGGCAAGATGTCTCCAAGCTCTCCCTTCTACCTTCCTTTGAGCTAGGATCCACTATCTTTGTCAGTCCACAGCAAATTTCGCGGGACTCCTGTCACTTGGAACAAAACACAAAGGCATTCATTTCTAAGGATTTTCAAAATAATGAAAACCATCAACTTATATGTTTACAGGAATGAGAATTCCCATTCATAAAACACATTCAAAGTGAGCGGTGTGGATGGACACACTAAAAATTTCCCAATGCCTAATTATTTCAAGATACTTTATTTTTAAAACAGATGAGGACACTAAGCTTTAGTACTCCCATTCTGCCAATGCCCAAGCTACAAATGCTTGCGCTCTAGCAGCTGAGGGGGCACTCTTTAGTAGCATGTTTGAAAAGTGAATAAAAATCCATATAAAACAAGTATTCAAATAGTTTCCATAGGAACACAGATAAGTGTGACCCATCTCCTAGTCTTCATATTGTTGCATCTGTGTCAACCCTCCCTGCTTACAAAGACATTTCCAAACTAGCAGTAATTAAGTTAAATGGTCCCCCAAATCCCGTAATTCAAGCTAAACTTGCAGTGAAGAGCTACAAGAGTAGAATCTACACATTAATACTAGTGGAAGCACAGGCTGCTGGGGGCCGCTTCATGCCACTCTCCCGCGCACAGGACACAGGCAGAGCGCTGACATCCTGTTCCTCTGCTTCTGAGGGCTCACAGCTCTGGATCTGCTGCATGAGTTGCCTGTGAGATAGAGACAAAAGTGCAGAGTCAGAAACCTGAATCACCCATCCCATAATAGGGCAGGACCATTTCCCTGGTCACTAGGTCATCAGAAGAGATCAGTGTATCTTTACAGCCATTTCTTTGGAATCATCTTTTCATTGGGGCTGGAGTGATAGCACAGCGGATAGGGCATTTGCCTTGCACGCAGCCAACATGGCCGACCTGAGTTCGATTCCTCCGCCCCTCTCGGAGAGCCTGGCAAGCTACCGAGAGTATCTCGCCCGCACAGCAAAGCCTGGCAAGCTCCCTGTGACGTATTCAATATGCCAAACACAGTTAACAACAAGTCTCATGATGGAGACGTTACTGGGCCCGCTCGAGCAAATCGATGAACAACGGGAGGACCGTGGACCGTGACATCTTTTCATTAATAGTCACATTTGTTAATTGAAACACTTGTTACATGCAAATGGATTTCCCTTCCCTTTGTATTTCCTAAACTTTGCAGAGCAGCATATTAAACCAAGCTTAAAACAAACTTGGGCCAGAGAAAGCCATCAGTCTGAGCATACGCTTTACATGAGGAAGGCTGCTCGGTCACCCAGCACAGCCAGGTGTGACATGAGAAACCAAAACCAAAAACCAAAACTTTAAGACTGAAGGCAGCTCAATGAACTCAGTGGAACACCTGCTTTGCAGTCAGGAAGCCCAGGTTCAGTGCCCAATAGCCAGGAATGACCCAGGTTCAGAGTAGCACCAAAGATAAACCAAAACTGTATTGAATCTTTAGCAAAAATGTGTCCCCCCCCCCCTTTTCTGGTGCAGTGCTACTGAGCCACATCCCTGACACACAATTTTCTTTTCAATTGGAGAAGATCAAATTAAAGAATACTCAAGTGACTTTTCTAGCAGACCCATAAACACCCAGTGATCACTAACCATGTTGACCCTGACATCACGTAGTAGATAGTGGGCCTCTGGAATCCGTTGAAGGTCGAAGCAGCAGCAACTGTGTAAGCACCCATGTTTTCAAAGAGCATCCAATCACCCACATGCATTTCAGGCAGGTCACAGCGCTCAACTATACGATCCAGGCCATCACATGTTGGACCCCATATGCTGGAGGAGTAATACTTCTCATCCGGTTTGGGTCTCTACATTCAAGAGAAAACTAGTTACAACTGTTATTAACCACCATCATACCTGTTTCCTACAGAATAATATTTTGAAGTACCTTCTGCAGAAGAGGCTTCACGTGTGCATGATCATAAAGGATGCAATTAAATGATCCATATACTCCATCATTCACATAATACATAAAGGTCTGTTCACTTGACTCATCTTCATCTAGAAAGGTGGTTAAATTAGCCTCAGTTACTATTTTTCTATATCAACTTTCAGTTATGCATGCAATGATTCATCCTTCATACATACCATCGGAACCAGTCTGTTCCTTTATAACAAGTTTTTTAGCAATGATGTTAACTGCAAGTGTGAATGCCGAGGCAACATAGTATCTTCCCGGCTCAGCTATGATTCTCACTCCCGAGTCAGAAGGAAAATACTTGTCAAGTGCTGGGTTGATTACACTGGTGATCTAAGAGTGACAGACAAGAGCAGTCAGTGATGACATAGAAATCAATCATTAGGTGAAGGAAGCAGTTCTCTCAGAAAACCAGTCAATCACTGCTCTTAATTCCCCTCCAGATACCCTTTCTAGCCTATTAACATGACCATGATTTTATTAATGGCGTACAAGGTACAAGTCTTGACAAAACTCACACATTAACCCCCACCCATTTCTTAGTTGGGTAGCACTGTAGCACTATCCTGCCATTGTTCATCGATTTGCTCAAACGGGCATCAGTAATGTCTCCATTGTGAGACTTGTTACTGTTTTTGGCATATCGAATACGCCACGGGGAACTTGCCAGGCTATGACGCGTGGGCAGGATACTCTTGGTAGCTTGCCGGGCTCTCAGAGAGGGATGGAGGAATCAAACCTGGGTTGGCCACGTGTAAGGTAAACACCCTACCCACTGTGCTATCGCTCCAACCCTCTTAGTTGGGTGACCTGTGAAACTTATTCCCTACTTCCACATTTCCTTCATTTATTTGGAAGGGTGCACACACACCAGTACTCAAGGTTTACTCCATATGGGTTGTGCTAGGATGGAACACAGGTCAGCAATGTGCAAGGAGAAGAGTCTTATCTGCTGTACTATCTCTCTGACCCAATTTCCACATTTCTAAATGTGACCAACTATTTTCTAAAACTTTTGGGAGAAACTGACACTTAGAAAAACAAATTGGTTTTCCTATGGTGGCAGGGACCAAACTCAGCTCTCACATATGCAAGTCAAAAGCTGTACTGTTGAGCACTTTAAATAGCATAGAAGTCACTAATATATATACATAAAGTCGAATCGAGGGGAGGAAGTTAGGATAGAGAAGTGACTATTATGACAATGATTGTTGTCACTCTGGACAAAAACTGAATGCTGAAAGGAGGTAAACGAACATACACGATCACCTTTCAGTACCTGTATTACAGACCATAATGCCTAGAAAGAAAGAAAGAGTGTGCAAGAGAGAAAGAAAGTGTCTGCCATAGAGGCAGGCTGGGGCTGGGGAAGAAGGGTAGCAAGAGGGAAACAGGGAACTTTGGTGGTGGGAAATGTACCCCGGTGAAGGAATAGGTATTGGAACATTGTATATGCTGATGAAACCCAATCATGAAAAGTTTGTAACTGTAACAATACCCCCCACCAAAATATATATACTTAAGATTGTTAAAACAGCATAAAGACATTTTATCTTCCAAAAGGAACTTGCCAGAATATCTGTTAAGCATATTCACGTCGTTATACATTACCTCTTCAAATTTAAGCTTTACGTCCTCAGATCCAGGAAAACCACCACCAATATCAAGCAGATACATGCTGAAGCCAACCTCAGCCTAGAGCCAACAAAATGAAGTCAATAGAACAGTCACAAATGCATCTAGTCAAGTCATGCCTAGGAGCTTAAGCTTCTGTAAGACATTATAATGTCTACAAACTTAATCCTAGAATTAAGACCATTATTACAGGCCCATCCCACCTCACAATGCACTATATATGTATGTGTACACACACACACACACACACACACACACACACACACACACTCACCCCCATGTCAAAGGCACAGCGAGCATCAGAAATGGCCTGCACAAAGGTCTCAGCATCAGTACAGCCACTGCCCACGTGGAAGCTGCAACAAAAAAATATGCAATTTCTTTTTTTAATGCACAAATATATAATAAAAAACAATGTTATCACCAATACAAATTCACTAAAATATATGAAAGCTTTTTTTTTCTTTTTGGGTCACACCCAGCAATGCTCCGGGGTTACTCCCGTCTCTGCACTCGGGAATTACTCCTGGCAGTACTTGGGGGACCATATGGTATGCTAGGGATCAAACCCAGGTTGGCCACATGCAAAGCAAATGCCCTACCCCTCTGTACCATCGCTCCGGCCCTGAAAGCATATTCTTTTTTTGTTTGTTTGTTTTTTGGGTCACACCCAGCGATGCTCAGGGGTTATTCCTGGCTTTGCACTCAGGAATCACTATGGATATGTAGTGAAATGAATAATTGCTATTTAAAAATTTAAAACAAGATTAAAATATTAGCAAAACAGTGAGTGAAAATATGCAATTTCTTATGATTTCTGAGTTTTTTTTTGTTTTGGGGCCACACCCGGCAACACTCAAGAGTTACTTCTGGCTCTGTGCTCAGGGAACACTCCTTGTGGGCTGCATAAAAGCAAGCACCCTACCTGCTATACTACCATACCAGGCCCATTTCTGAGTTTGAGAGGAAATAAACCTGTGGAAACTTGCATTACTTAGTATTTCAGCCTCTTATCATGCCATTATCAAAATCTCACCTGACACCAATGACATCAATGTTCAGTTCTTTTGCCCGTTCCAAAAGCAGCCTGCTGGTTTTGAGTGTGGCACCAAATTTAACACTGAGACGACAAACTGCTTTGGAATCATCTGTGGCAATCCGCAATACCAACCTAGAAGCAAGAAAAGTGCATCAAATTTCTCCCACCAGACCACTTATAATCAAGGATAAAACAGAGGGCTGAGGTGAGAGTTCCAAGGGCTGGAATGAACATGACCTTGGCATTGCATGTGCCCTACCTAGTGTACTGCACTTGGTGGGCAGTCCCCAGCTTTGTAACACCCAACCTCTACTGCGAGGACTGCACAGCCACGCCAGCAGTGGACCCACACCCTTTTCCCAGATAGAAAGGATCCCAGGGGACCAGGGGGACAGCCAAACCCTTGGTTTGAACTGGAGAGGCTTTTATTAATACAATTTCAGCTATATTCTACTAGGTCTCCAAGCCAAAGGAGCAATTCGTCCTGGGGGCACACCCCTGCACAATACAGAGGGTGGTGGGAGGGCTTTTGGTTTGGCTCGAGGCAGATTTCATGGGGAACTTCAGAATTTTTTTCTGAAACGGGGGCAGGGGGACAAAATTTGGGACCCTCTGCTCTAAGCCATCATAGGGTCATTTGCTGAGTTTTGTCTGATGGTCTACAATACATTTCTGACCCTTCCTCCAACAAGGAGTAACTCACTTTGCCTTGGGATGTGCCCTGGCAACTTTCATCAGCTCAACTTCACTATCAAATGTCATCATCTGGACTCCATTATTGGCGGCGTACTTAATTTGAGACACTTGTTTACAAGGATTTGCATAGATAATCCTCTCTGGAGGTACCCCGAGACTCTGCACCAACTGTATTTCATTCTGAAAAAGAGGGAATATGTGATGCAACCTATAGCCAATAAACAATCACAGGGCCCATTTCACACAACATTTGGTCCCATACACCATATAATACAAAAACCGCTTTTGCCTACCTTACTGGCACAATCAAACCCTGCCCCGATAGCAGCAAGGGTCTTCACTATGGTTCTGCTATCATTGCATTTGACAGCATAAAAGGGGGTGACCCGAGGAAGAGTTTTTAACCACCTCCGATGTTTCTTTAGAATATCTCCTAGGTCAGCAACATAGAAGGCATCTTTGTCATCCTGAAGGAAGAGTGAGGAGATCTCAGGAGCAGCCTCTCAGGTGTCCCACGTCCCACTTGCAGTAGACTCTCTTCCTTCCCACCAGTCCCAATGAATCTGATTGTTAATGTCACTGTCAACTCCCAGCTAGGTTTGGCAAGTTCCAGAACACCTCCAAGACCCCAGCAAAATTTCCCTTCTCATCTGCCCCGATTCGCAAGGTACACCGCCTACAGACTCGTACTTACTGAAGAAGAAACTTCATTGATTTTTTGGTCCAGAATGTCCTTGGCAGTGAAGCCTTCATCAAGGAAATGGCAGTCAAACTCATTACTAAAGTTGTTCATGGTTTCTGGACGTTCCTTTGATGCACAACACTGCAAACAGGTTGGTGAAATTTACTTAGAAGCTTGTGTAATCCTCAACTAGAGAAAGCTTTAGCCATCAAGAATACTTACATGGAAACTACGATGACCTTTAAAGAAATTGCCAGATTTCTCACAAAGGCAAGCTGTCCAGGAAATCCCAGCCCTGCTGAAGATGTGCGTGCCCTCAATGCAGCGTGGGTATGTTCTGAGAAACACAGAATTTGTGGCCCACATTAGGAACACAAGGTGTCACTCGCATAATTCATAAACCAACACATCACACACTCGACTTTTTCAAAACAACATACTACAATTCCCGACATAGTATAGCATCTCACAGTAAAGCATTTGCTTTGCAGGAGGTAAGCCGAGCACTGAGGGTGTGCCCCCCCACACACACACTTCAAAACAAAGACACTAAACATAGTGCAGAATTGCAAAATACACAGCACAAAAATCAGTACTAAAAACTGCAGGTAATTTCTGCACCTTGCTCACTGACAGGAAAAACGCTGAACAACTTATTTTTTAGTCAGTATTTTACTGTTTTATCTAAAAGAGCCCGATAATTATTCAGAGACACTAAGCACTTCCAACTTTCTCTAAGTCCTAGACATTTTTAGTAATGGTCATGGAACTATCCAGGACCTCAATTTACTGCGTGCACAGTACATTACCCAAGAATTTTCTAAGCAATTTTTTTTACACTGGGCACATATTTAAAAACGGCATTCTCCAATTAAACAATGAATTACAGTTACTGCATCTTAAGAGAAATTAGCATTCCTGAACCAGCGCTACTGCTCAAATAAATCAGTGATTCTGGCAATTCCAACTGCCCCTTACAGGGACTTTAATATTTGCTTAGCAGTCACATGAGTCAATTTTTGGCTAACTTTGTGAATAAGAAACAAGCATGAATGAATATGGGTAAGTGACAGTCAAGCCCTAGACAATAATAGCCACTGTTCCTGGCCTTCCGGAATGTGACATTGGCACCGGGCAGTTATCCTGCGATCAGGGACTCCAATCTACTCATTTCAGCCAGGTAGGGATTCCTGTGCGACCCGCATCAGTGCCCACAGCCCATGGGTAAGGGCCAGGCAGTGGTTCCGGGCCGCAGCTTGCTCTGGCATGGGGCACTATGAGAGGCCCAGGGGGACGGACCTGCCATAAATCCAAACCCATGCAGGGCAGAACCTGTTCTTTTTTTTTATTTTTTTAAAGAATCCATCAGCATGTTCTTTTCCCACGGGCATTGTCCCAGGTCGTCTAAATAGGCAGAAGGGAAAAAGCAAGGACTGCTGCCAGCAAACCCATTTCTGTCCATAAAAGAACAGGAACTCAGCACCAAAGGTGACAGCTGGATTATTTAAGGGTCCTGCTAAGTTACCTTCCTCTCGCCTGCACTTGGGAAGCTCCTCCTTCACCAATATACCCTCACCAAACAGTTCGCTTTTCTCTTTGATTTTTTTTTTTTAAAGATGCGCTACAAAGAAATTTCACCTAAGAACACTGTAACTCCGAACACAACTGAGCTACTTAAAAATTTTAAAAAAAAAATCCACGAGCAGATTCGGAGAGCCAATTTCCTTGACTCCCAACTGGGTAAGAGACCGGAACAAATAAAAGTAAATAAATACATTAAAAAAAACAGCCCAAACTTTGCTCACGAGCCCACTCCATTCTGCCCCAACTTCTCTCGGCCCCTTTCTTTTGTCTTCCCCGGAGGTCCTGCCTAGCCGCTCGCCGCCGGCTCTCGCACCCACGAGGCGGGACTTTGGGGGGAAAAAAAAAAAACACAATCCGCTTTTTTTTTTCTTCTCCATAGAGAAAAGACTTTTCCTTTTTTCCCTTCCCGACGTCACCTCCCCACCGGCTCATTCTTCAGCCACCCAAGTCAGCCGCCGGCGTCCCCGGGGCTAACGAGCTCCTGAACGCACGCAGCGGCGCTTTGCATTTTCCCACCGGGCTCCGGGCGCCCGCTCCGGCGGGACCCGTGCTCGGGCTCACCGCGCAGGAAAATTAAAAAGAAAAAAAAAGAAAAGGAATCGAAGACTAAGAACAGGGCTCCGGGGCACCGAGGCGGAAAGGCGGCCGCGCCTGCCCCGGGAGACGCCGGGCGCCTCAGACGCGCCGGGCGCACCTCGCTCCCGTCCTGCACCTGCTACCGGCCTCGCCCAATGATTATTATTTTTTTTCTTTCGAAAATATTTAAAAAAAAAAAAAAAGAAAGGCTCCAAATATTGGCCGTTGAGAGAACCCCCGGGGCCTCCCGGGCAACTTCCGTCTCGGCGCGTCGTTTCACCTCGGCGCGGTCCGGAATGAGGGGGGAAACTCGGCCGCGGGGAGGGACGTGAGGGGGACGGAGCGACCGCGAGGCGCCCAGCGGGTCGGGGCCGCCGCGGCCACCACGTGTCTGTGGCAGCGGCGGCCGCGGGCGGCGTCCCCAGCCCGCGGACGCGCTCAGGCCCCCGCAGGCCCCGCGGACGACGACGACAACGACGGTAGCGGCGAAGGCGGCGGCGGCGACAGCGACACGTGCTCGTCGCCCGCTCCCGGCCTCCCAACCGCCGCGTCCCGCTCACCTCAGCGCGCACGGCCGCCTCGGGCCGGCCCCATGGAGACGCCGCCGCGCTCGCAGGCCCGCCCGCCCCCGTCCGCCGCCCGCCGCCTCGCTCGCTCCCGCGGACGACCGCCGGCCCGAGGTTGGCGCCGGAGCTCAGGCCGAGAGGCGGCGGCGGCGGAGGCTCTGGGCACTGACAAAGCCGCCGCGCTGCCGCGCCGCTACTTATAGCCCCGCGCGTGTCGTCATGGAGACGCACCAGCTCAAACCAGCCGCGATCGGTTCCGTCCGGGCGTCCTCCGCGGGAAGGGGCGGGGCGAGGCGACGGCAGCCAATCGGGAACCCCGGCGGCGCTCTGGGGGCGTGGCGCGGGTGCTCCGACGTCAGCCCCGCCTGCGCCGCTCGGGCCAGCCCGCCGCGCCCCCAGGGGCCGGGCGCCCCTCCCGGCCCTGCGGCAGCCAGAGCGCGCGCATGCGCACGCCGCCGCCGCCGTCTCGCCCCGCTCCCGGGCCTGCAGCTCCACGCGCCGCGAGGCGGCTGGCGCGCGCTTGCACCAGCGGTGAGTGCAGCTGCAACAGGACCGCTGCCGGTGCTATGCAGGACGGATCTTCCTCCGGGCGTAGACTCTCCCGTGACCGGAGCGGAGACCCCGGGCGCGCGGCAATCGCTCCGTGAGCCACGTGTACTCCGCCTGGGTTCCCCGGGGAAAGGACCTTGGCGCTGCTCCACCGCACCGTGCAAAAGGTGTATAGATATGACAGAAGGGAGGGGTTATAGGTCGTCGGGCAAGTTCGCGGCCCGGCTGCCAAGCCGCAGCCTCCAGCTAACCGGGGTCTGACATAACCAGGTACCGCCTCACTTGGTGGTGGATGGAAAGATTCTGGGGGCAAGATTTAGGCAGTCGCTCAGCAGCGGGGCGCTGCACCGTGAGCCTGGGCGCCAGCAGTGATGGGTGCGTTTTGCGTTGTCCCCGCTGTGTGCCCCTCAGTGAAACGTCATGCACGCATTTTGGCAGCAGGGATAGGCACACTTGGCGTTCTGCGCGCTTTAAATCCCAACACACCAACGAAGTCATAAGCAATGAGCACTTAGGATAGTGAGCCTCGGTGAAAGGAAATTTGGTGGCTCTAAGCATGTAGCCCTCTTTTGGAGTGGGGAACGTTCCCCATCCCCAAACTTGTCCTGGAGATTGAAAGGGTTTGGGGGCCTCTTTCGTGTTTGTCTTTTGTAATCCTGCCCTGGAAGGCAAAGTTCAGCAGATCCACCCTTAGGGTGTGGGTTGTTCTTGGCCTCAGGGCTCCCTGTAAGGAGTGATCAGATAAAGTAAGCATTTTCCAAGGACGTGGGTGGATGTGTAGGGGGGTCCTGGTGCACTCCAGGTCCCCTTCCAATCCCCAATCTGTTTTGTGGATTTGAGTAAGTTACCCTCTTCCTTTGGGCCTTTTTTTTTTTTGCATCACACCCAGCGATGCACAGGGGTTACTCCTGACTCTGTGCTCGGGAATTACCCCTGGCAGTGCTCAGGGGACCATATGGGATGCTGGGAATGGAGCTCAGGTTGGCCCTGTGCAAGGCAAACGCCCTACCCGCTATGCTATCACTCCAGCCCCCCTTTGGGCCTTAAAAGAGCTTGGGCCACACACCCAAGGATCTTAACAGCTACAAAAGCCTGCAGAAAGGTGTAGGCCCCCAAAGCTATGAAAGCTTGTTGAGTGAATGGCCAGGCCGAACTCCCTCTTCTCTTCATTTCTCAAGCCCTTGAAGGGGCCTGGTACCTTGTTTCTTAGGGGAGAGGTACGTTAGTATCACTCCAGCAACCCAACTTCCTGGTATTTGCCCATCACCCAGCACCCCTCCTTAAAGAACCATCTTGTTCTAATGACACACAAAGTTTTTTTCCTCACGCTTGGGAAATGTTCCATGTCCAGTGCCTGGGACCAGAGGGGTGCTGGGTTCTTACTGCTTAGTACAACCAGTCAGCCTGAGACCCAAAGAGCGTCCAGTTCTCCAGCGACCTGGGGAGGTCTGCCAGATCTAGGGCCAGCTGAGTTCTATGTTTGTATTTTACAGTGAGACATGAAGTGCTTGGTCCTCTGCATGTGCTCTCTTGTCTGTCTGTCTCTCTCCATCCTTTGCATATGCTATCTCTCTGTGTCTTTCTGACACTGTCTTTCTGGCCAGCGCACCCTACAATGGGCAAGCTCGTGTACCATGCTTGCCTTTGGGGAGGCCAGGCCTTCCTCCAGTGACCCCTCTGGCTCTACTGTAGGAGCATGAGCAGGGGACCAGGCGGCTTCACCTGGCAGCACAGGCCCTGCCAGCTCCAGGTGCAATTTGAGCGACCCCCCACCCCCCCTTGCCCCTCGCCATGGCCTTGACTCTGAGTGTCTGACTCATTGAACCTGGTTCCAGCTCGAGCTGGAGAAGAAAAGCCGGTAGTGACTAAAGCTGGTCCCGTTCAAAGGCACACACGAAGGTCTTCCTGCAGGTTTGGGGGAGACTAGATCCTCTCCCTTACTATTTTTGTCCTTAGAGATAAGCAACAGATCCTCTGAAAGATGGGACGCCAAACATCTGGAAGTTATTCTTACACGGAGATGAGAGCTTCCGTTGGATGCGGAAGTGGGAAAGGAAGTGAGCACCATCAGGGCCCACCTTGTGCATGACAGTGAGACCCCGGTCCATCATCCTCACACCTCAGTTCCAGGACTTGCTTGGTGAGCCCTGGCTCTGAGTTCCTACCGGCCCTGAGTCTCTCGTGCTCTCCTCCAGCTCATTCTTGCAAAGCTGCTCTGCCCAGATGCGACTTAGACGCAAAGTCAGGCTCTGGTACTCTGAAGGTCTCAGAATTTCTGACTTTGACACTGAGCCCTATAAATCTGAGCAGGTTTCCTGAAACCCCAAACGAGGAAACATCTAAGGAAAGAGTTGCTTTTCTCTGGTTTGCTTTTTTGTGAAGGGGTGGGGGAGGGGGGGGTTTGGGCTGCATGCAAGAGAGCTAAAGGGCTTCTCCTGGTTTTGTGCTCAGGGATCATTCCTGGGGATGCTCTGGAAATAAATGGTATAAGGTATCGAACTGGAATTAGCATCGTGAAAGGCATGCCCTAACCCCTGTACTATCTACCTGACCCCAAAGCTTTTTGTTTTCTTTTTGGCTAATTTATTTGCACTAACTTGCTTTATGAGGAGCTGGGGTGATAGCACAGCTGGTAGAGTGCTTGTCTTGCTTTTGCTTTTATGCGGGGGCGTGGGTGTCACATCTGGTGATGCTCAGGGGTTACTCCTGGCTCTGCACTCAGGAATTACTCCTGGCGGTGCTCAGGGGACCATATGGGACGTTGGGAATGGAACCCGGGTCGGCTGCGTGCAAGGCAAACACCCTACCCACGTCTTGCTTTTGATCACGGTATCCCACTGCCCCCCTGAGCACTCTCCAGAATGATTCCTGAGTGCAGAGCCTGGAGAAAACCTGAGTCCCATTGGGTGTGGCACAAAAACAACAATAAAGAGCTTATAAAGTTTAAAGTGATAAAGTATTTAAGATCATCACTGGACAGAAATGATAGTCATCAGAAAGAAAGGATGTCTCCCGTTTATTTGATGTTGGAATACTTGACACAGAACTTTCTGGGAAGTAGAGCCTTGTTATGTCCATCTGCCCCATGGTCATACACTGCTGTACCATATGTCCTTGGTCATGCAATGCTGCTCCAAATTTCTTCTCCAAAGCACAGTCGTCATAGTTTCTGGAGTGAAGCTTATGACTCATGAGCACTTGGGGAGGGGAGATCTGTCCCTGCCAAGCTGATGTCACTCAAGAAAATTAGGTGCTGGAAACCAGTCAAGGGACACTGTAGTCATTTGGAGGAAACTCAGCCAGAAGTACTTACCAAAGCTTCCTCACTCGTCTGTCCAAGGGCACCCTAGTCTAGCCCTCGGATCACTGGCAGTGCGTGCAGAACCCCAACATTCCTTCCATGCCGCTGTCACCGCCCTTCAAATGACGGGCCCCAGTGCAGAGGACAGCTTCCGGGAAGACCCTCCTGGCTCTGAGTAATGGTGATGTCACTGGAGAAGCCCAGCATCTCTCGGAGCAGCTGTCGAGAACCTATATGAGGAGAAGGCCCAGAAGGCCCTGGCATAAAGTGTTGCTTCACAGCTCCACCCCACCCGCACCCTCTGTGGCTCTCGAGGAAGTTGCTGAAACAGGAGCAGATCCTGGGCCAACAGGGCCGTGTGGCAGTTTGCAGGCCCCTCAGAGCAATCCAGGGAGGTGATCTCGGTCCAGACTTAAGAGCAGGCGTTCTTGGGCCCGGCACACTGGTATTAGCACTGCTCGGCTTCCCACACGGTCTTCTCAGCGGGTTGAAGACAGAGTGCGGGTGCAGAGCCAGAAGCTACCTGAGTGAACTCCTGACACATGGGCTCAGAGCCAGGCAGCAGGCTTGAGATCTGGCCACTCTATTTATTTATTTATTACAGCTTTTGCATTTTTTATTACCATGATTTTTCCTTTTTTTATAAAAGGCGGCCACACTAGTGAGGGGGGCCAGGGTGGTAGGAAAGGGCAAGGCAGGGTTGGGGGTTGGAGGCCAGTTCAGCTCTATTGGTAGTAAAACTCCAAGTTCATCTCATCATGGATTTCATAGTGCCCCGGAGACACGTGGTCATTGAAAATCATGCACCCCTTCTTTAATGTGATCTTGTTCCAAAAAGTGCCGATCTCGGCCACAATCAGCTTCTTGGGATCCTCAATGGTGTCATTTGTGTTGCACTTTTTTTTTTTGCTTTATGGATCACACCAGGAATTACTCCTGGCTCATGCACTCAGGAATCACTCCTGGCAGTGCTCAGGGGACCATGTGGGATGCTGGGAATCGAACCTGGGTTGGCCACGTGCAAGGCAAACACCCTACCCGCTGTGCTATCGCTCTAGCCCCTCGTGTTGCACTTAATGTGGACTTTTTTTTGCCCAAATAGTTGTCACACACAACCTCGATCACTCTGTCCAGAGCTCAAATTGCCTGAAACCTGCGAAAAACACAATCACCCATTCTGGCTGCTGCAAAATTCCTGTGCTGGTGGAGAGATAAGATAGGGGTTTAGGTGCTTGCCTTGTGTGCTCCTGAACCTGTTTTGATCCCTAGTACTCCACCTAAGCACTGCTGGGTGTGACCCAAAAACCTAAAACTAAACAAGAACACAAGCCCTTTCCTGGTGGGCCCGAGAGATAGTATAGGATTTAAGGTACCTCAGCCTTGTTAAATCCCCAACTTTGCATATAGGGTCCCCTGAGCACTGAGCACTGCTGGGTGTGGCCCCCAAACAAAATTCTGGATCCTTAGGGTAAACAGACACACTTTAGCCAAGAGCCTGGACCCTTCAGATCTGCCCTGCTCACCTGCACAGCTGCCTGACACCGCCCTCTCCTTCCAGCTACCTTTGAAGTCAAGATCTCCTTATCCTCACACATCCGGCTTGGGGCCCAGTTACCTGCACACACCAAAGTTACTCAGTATCTTTCAAGGAAACAAATTCTTCCCTGAGGAATCTCTGACTTGTGGTTCCTATGGGGCTGATTAGCTCACGGGAATTTCTCTCCCTGTGTTGTTTACCATTGAACAGACTCCGAACATACGCTCTTCCTGTAATTTCTCTCCTCCTTTATTGGTTCAGCAGATACTTATAATCAAACAAACCCCAGCAGCAGCTGTGGGCTGGACTCTCTCGGACCAGCCAGGGGTTCCTGCCTCATCTGTGTCTGATTTCTTCCGAGTGTCTGATGGCTGTCTCTGACCCAGCGTGTCACAGCACTTCTACTAATGTTGCCACTGCCCCATTTTTGCCCATGCCACACCCTGCAGGGCCCCACCTCTGGGAAACCCCAGAGCCCGCAGGAATTCTTCCTGGGGTGGCAGGAACAGCCTTGTGCAATGTCTGCCGCCTTCTGCAAGGTGTGGGCCCTGCACCAAGGTGGACGCCAGGTCCCAGGAGTGCCCACACTCGTCAAGCTGCCCTAAGCCTCAGGGTCCCTGAGCCCAAGGCTGGTGGGCGACCAGGCTCCACTGAGTGAGCTGCAGGGAATCTAAAGGGACTGCCCAGAGTGGGTGGCTGACCCCCAGACCCATGCTCCAGTGTGTTCTAGTCACAGGGACAGAAACCATAGGGTACGAAACCATAGGGACAAAAACCAGTGGTCACAGAATCTCTGACAGAAGCCAGGCTGGGGGGCAGGGGGGCTGTGCTGAGTTGGAAAGGGGCCCATGTGTGCAGGGCAAGAACCACCTACAGGTCACAGAGAGGAAAGCCCTGCCTAGCTTGGCTCACTTGGGCAGAGAACTGATACCTCCGAAGCCACAGCGGGGGCACTGCAGGATTCCGAACTGTGGGGCGAGCTCTCTGCTGATAATTCACCTTTGGCCACTCTCTGCAGCACTCCCAAGTGCTTGCTGACCACAGGACTCAGGATCTTATTTCAGGGTCCACAGGCAGGAAGGAAGGCAGTTGGGTAGAACGTATTTCACCTGGGAACCAGTCAGACCCCACCCAGCACTTCTGACCAATTCAGCGAGCTCAGAGAAGGGGGGGCTTGGGCCCTGCAAAGCAGAAGTCATGGGATGGGGGGGGGCTGTTTATTGGGAAATACCTGGCCCAGTGCTGAGCCCGCAGACCTACCGTGAAGGGGCAGTGTCCAGTGCTGAGGAAACTGCCCGCAGCAGAGGGACACATAGACCCACTTCTCCCATCCTCTAATCTTCCACTGGGGCCTCCCCGTCAGAACCTGCCACCAAGGGGTGGCATCTCCGGGCTCATCTCCCCTTCTCTTCGAGAGGCAGAGATGCACTCGTGGGGACTGAGGGGTGGACATGACGTCAAGCAGGCCAGAGACTGGCCCAACTCCCTGGCCACGGGCTCTCAGACTTCTTCCTGCTGCCTCATGGGTCACCACCAAAGAAGCGTTCCGAGAGCAGTGTGAGCTGCTGGGAACATTAATCATCTCACGGAACAAAAAATCTCGAGGAAGGGAGGATCCGGTTTCAAGCACTCGGAGTCTCAAAAGCAACGCCAAAGACTCATGTTCTTTTCATCCTTCTCACGTTCTTGGCCGGGTGTGGTGCTGCTCCCCTGGGGTTCCCCAGTGGCTTCAAGGAAGACAGCTCAGTGGGAGAAGGGAAGGATATCCCCTTGTGGCTCTCTGTCTCCCGAACCTAACTGTCTGCAGACACCACCATGTGGACATCCTCCAGAGCAGAGGTAGCCCAGTCCTGTTCATGCATCTCAAGAATGGGGAGCAGGACCTCCGTGGTTGCCGGAAGCCGAGGATGAGTCACGATCTCCCTGGCAGGGGTGCAGGCCTCCCACGGAGAGTCTGACTTGGAAGCTGCTCTCAGGGGCGGGATTGTGTCTCTCCCAAATCCATCTGTATGGTTAGCCCCAGCACTTTGAAATGAGAATCTTTGCCAAGGGAGTCAGGTTAAATAAAGCCTGAGGTGGGCCCTGGTCCAACAAGAGAGTGTTGGATGGAGGCTCACAGAGGGAAGATGATGCATGGAGAGCAGCATGTGAAGATGCAGGCAGAGATGGAGGACGCTCTTGTAACCCAGGGACCACTAAAGATGGCCAGCTCAGCCCTGAGGTGATGGGAGTAGCTCATTGTCGGTGCTCCCTCTTGGCCCCTCATAGGAGCCAACTCTGCTGATTGGTACTAGGTCTGGAATTTTCTGCCTCTAGGACAGTAAGAAAGAAGTCTCTGGGTGCCGCTTAGGTCTGCTGTACTTGGTTCCGGCAACCCAAGCGGCTCTGTAACCAGAACCAAGTCAGGGTTCTGCAGGAAGGTGATAGGCGAGTAGAACGATATGAGGCTTGGGCTGAACCTCGGGTTCTCCAGGCTCTGAGGCCATGCGTAAGGCCTGGCGATGGACAGGGCATGAGGCTCAGTGCTATGGTCCTGCCTTGTGTGTGTCTGTGAGGCCCGTTGGATTTTCGGTGCCGCATAATAAATGCATAATAAATAATCTCAGGCTAGAGAGATAATATGGGGTAAGGCCTTGCAAGTGGTACCCCAGTGTATCACATATGGTGCCAGCATGGTCAGGAGTGATTCCCAAGCACAGAACTAGAACAGCCAGGTATGGCCCCAAGCCTCAAAAGAACATAGAAACAGAAAGAAAGTTAAGTTCTCAGGGCTCTTCCTGACTCTGTGTGTAAGGATTACTCCTGGCAGTGCTAGTGAGGTCGTGCCCATCCGCCCATTGTACCACCTCTACAGTCAGGAGAGTTTTCTTTCCTTTTTTTTTTTTTTTTTTTTTGCTTTTTGGGTCACACCCAGCGATGCACAGGGGTTACTCCTGGCTCTGCACTCAGGAATAACTCCTGGAGGTGCTCGGGGAACTATATGGGATGCTGGGAATCGAACCCAGGTTGACAGTGTGCAAGGCAAATGCCCTACCTGCTATGTTATCACTCCAGCCCCAGGAGAGTATTATTTCGTTATGAGGTTCTCTATCTTCTCTGTCCTTTCTCATAGCTCATACTTTCTAAATAAAATTCTCCTTCTCCTTTTCCCCTCCCCTGCCTTTTCCCCCCTCTATTCCGCTTTCCCTCTTCCTCCTTCTCCTCTTCCTTTGATTTTGTTTTTGGACCACATCTGTAATGTTCTGGCCTCATGCCTGGCTCTGAGCTCAGGGATCACCATTTGGGATGTCAGGGATCACTACCTGGTTGGCCATGTGCAAGGCAAATGCCCTATCTGCTGTGCTATTACTTGGGTCCTGTTTTACATCTCAAAGAAAGAAAGAAGCTGGTGTACGTGCAGGGAACTCAATACTAAACTCAGCTAACAGAGCTGACCCCTGAATAACATTGTATTTATTTATTTATCTAGTTTTGGTTTGGGGGCCACACCTGGAGATGCTCAGGGGCAACATTGTACTGAAAAGGGTTGGAGAGACTGTACTGGTAAGCTAAGGTGCTTGCCTTGCATTCAGTCAACCCCAGTTCAATCCCTGGTGCTTTGTGGTCCCTGGACATTGTCAGGAGCGACCTCCAAACACAACCAGGAGTAGTCTCTGAACCCCATGGGGTGTGGTCAACCTCCTCAAATAAACAGATCACTATATCACTGTATCACTGTCATCCCATTGATCGTTGAATTACTCGAGCAGGTACCAGTAACATTTCTATTCCTCCCAGCCCTGAGATTTTAGCAGCCTCTTCTTACTAGTCTTTTACCAATGATTGGAGGCTCTTTCAGGGTCAAGGAAATGAGAACTATTGTCAGTACTATATTTGGCATATCGAATGTGCCATGGGGAGTTTGCCACACTCTACCCGTGTGGGTGGGATATTCTTGGTAGATTGCCAGGCTCTCCAAGAGGCATAAATGGGTAGAAAGTGATTTTTTTTTTTAGGAAGTGTTTTATAATGTGTTGTGCGGCCACTTTGTGGCTGCGCAATCTGGAAAGCAGCCTGGAGCGTGACGGTGGTTGGGCAGTGGAGGTTGGCTGCTGGGGCTGCCCCACAGCCTGATGCAGAGTCCAGTGGCATGGTTCTGGGAGCCTCCTTTTATACTCCCGGCCGGGAAGAGATATCCATAAGTTCTGGAGGGTGGCCAATGAGATTATCTGGTGCTGGCAGGGTGTGGCTTATGGGTGTGATCCCTGAGTCACTGGAGACTGGTGGAAGCAGGCAGAGGATCTCTGTTCCGGGTCCCATTGAGTCCAGAGTCCAGGGTCACAGGGTTCCACAGTATCTGGGTTCCGTGGGACTTCGTTCTTGTATGAGACTCGACTTGAGCAACTGGAAAGTGGCCTGGAGTGTGGTGGTGGTTGGGCAGTGGAGGTCGGCTGCCAGGGCTGGATCCCTTGGAGTGGGGAAGGCTCTCATTCGCCCCATAGCCTGGCGCAGCTGTACAAATAAGTACATCCAAACAGAAATCCCTTAATTCTGCTTGAGTGTTAAATGAAGGGACATTGTATCATTAAAAACCCAGCTACTATGTAGGA